AGATCACACCATTGCACTCTAGCCTGGGCGACAGAGCAAGACTCCATCTCAACAACAACAACAACAAAAATTAATGTTTAATCCTTACATTTTGTTATTTTGAGCTAAGCATTTACCATGTATCATGGTATCCAAACTAAGCATGCAACCAAATTGAAAACAAGACCTATTTAAATGCCATGTTACATAGAAACACAAGTAAGCATTGATCATTTTAAAACAGTCAACAAAAATATTCTGTACTGACATATAGCTATGTTTAATTTTCCCTCTCACATACATCTGGCAGCAAACCCTGATTATTACCTTTAAGACCAGGTACACCACTCCTGCCAGGAATTCCCAAAGGTCCTGGTGGGCCTGGAGGTCCCATCATACCCATTTCACCTTTGGTACCTTTGAAGAATATCAATAAGTAATGTTTGCCTTTCTTTGACTGAGGGAACATAAAAAGTAAGTTTTAAGATGTCAACTAGAAAACTGTTGAGGGTTGGAGATAAGGCACTGTTAAGTTTTAGACTTTTTGACCTTCGTGCCTACTACTGCTGATACTCATGAATAAGGAGACTCACTCTGGTAGCTAATCTCTAAAGATGGCTCCCCAGTGAACCATATGTCCCAGTATATGCAATCTAGTATAAACCTCTCACTTGGAACTAGGGTTGATTCTGTACCTCACACTTTTCTAAATGACATTGTGTGACTCCCAAGCCTAGATTAAAAGAAGTCTTGCAGGCCAGTCACGGTGGCTCATGCCTATAATCCTAGCACTTTGGGAGGTTGAGTTCAGAGGATTGCTCGAGGCCAGGAGTTTGAGGGCAGCCTGGGCAACATAATGAGACTCCATTACTACAAAGAAAAAAAAAAAATAGTTGGGTGTGGTGGTATGTGCCTGTAGTCCCAGCTACTTCGGACTACTTCCTACTGAGGCAAGAAGATGGCTTGAGCCCAGGGGTTTGAGGCTGCAGTGAGATGTGATCATGTCCCACTGCACTCCAGTCTGGGTGACAGAGTGAGACCCTGTCTCAAAAAAAAAAAAAAGAAAGAAGGAAGGAAGGAAGGAGAGAAAGAAAGAGAGGAAAGAAAGAAGAAAAGAGAAAAAGGAAAGAAAGAAAGAAAAAGAAAGAAAGAAAGGAAAAAGAAAGAAAGAAAGGAAAGAGAAAGAAAGAGAGAAAGAAAGAAAGAAAAAGAAAAAGAAAGAAAGAAAGAAAAGAAGTGAAGGGAGAGAGAGAGAGAAAGAAAGAAAGAGAAAGAAAGAAAGAAAGGAAAGAAAGAAAGAGAAGGAAAGAAGGAAGGAAGAAAGAAAGAAAGGAAAGAAAGAAAGAGAAGGAAAGAAGGAAGGAAG